CCCAGAATAAAGCCGAGGCGTACCTACTCCTCAAATGTACGTATACCTTTGTCAAAGGTCTAAATTGCGGAAATTCCTATTTGCCGCTCGTTGCGGCAAGTAGTCGAGGCGACGCACAGGCGCACATCGAGCAGCGTTCGGATGGGCCAGCCCGTTCAAACCATTGAGCGATTCCGTTTTTGGGAATCTTCTAGGTTGTTTCCAGCCGGTTTTCTGGTTTTGGGAACCTTCTAGAAGGTTCCTGGACCGGTTTTTCTAGTTTCCCGTTTTTCCTTTTTGTTTCTCATTTTTCTGTTTCTTCTTTTCGTTTATTTCTTCTTTATGTTTTTCGGTTTTCTTTTCTTTGCCCTTTCGTTTTTTCTTTTTCATGTTTCTTTTAAATTTCAAATATTTATTCAGAATTTTATACCATGTTCCTGTTTTCAAATTTTGCTCCCAATTTTGAAAAAAGTCAGAAATTTCAAAAAATGTTTTTATTTACAAATTTTGTTCAGGATTACAAAAAATGTTCGTGTTTCACAAAGTCTTTTTAGATTTTTTATAAAATGTTATTGTTTTCAAATTTTGTTAACAATTTTAGAAAATGTTCGTGTGTCAAAAAGTCTTTTTAGAATTTTTATAAAATGTTCTTGTTTTCAAATTTTGTTCACAATTTTTAAGATGTTCAGTAATTCTCATTTTCAAATTTTGTTCAGAATTGAAAAAATGTTCATGTTTCAAAAAATCTTTTTAGAATGTCTTAAACTAGGGGCTGCTACGCGTCAGCCGACGGATATCTAGAAAACATCCGCCGCCTGGCTGGCCGTTGGATTGATGCGCGGAGCCGTTCGATCTACCCATCGTCACCTCTCTTGCAACAAGAGCGGTGTTGCAGAAACATTTCTAATATACATCGTGTTGTAAAAAACCTTTTGCAATAGAAGTGATGTTGCAGAATTTTTTGTAACAAAGATCATGTTGCAGAAAACATCTTGTTGTAGATTTTTGCAACAAAGGTCTTGTTACAAAAATATTTTGCAATAAATTTTTTTTTTGCAACAGAGGACCTGTTGCAGAATTTTTCGCAACATTGTTCTTGTTGCAGAAACATTTTTGCAACAAAGGTGATGTTGCTGAATTCTTTTTTCCCGGCAGAGGCAGCGAACTGGTAATCTGCGGCAGCACACATGCTGGCGACACGGGACGAACAGCGAGGCGCAAAGAAGGGCTGGGGACGAGCACATCCGGGCGGTGGCTGCCATGCACAACTCAACAACGGCGGTGGAGTCCGGCGATAGACGAGCCCTATCGCTTCCATGGAGCTTCGGGCCGGCATCGGTGACGTCGTAAGGGCGGTGCAGTTAGATGCGGTGGCGCAGCGAGTGGAGCGAGAGGAAGATAGGTAGATAGGTAGCAGTGGCGGGGTACCTTGGTTGCGCGAGAAAAATGCCTTTGTTTCGAAAAATGTTTAGGTTATTTAAAAAATATTTCTTTTTAAAAAATCACAATGTCAAAAAATTCAATTTGTTTAAAAATTGTTCACGTTTTAGAAAGCTGTTAGGTTTCATAATTTTTTTTTCGTGTTTTTATAAGTTTTTTTTATCAAATTTTGAAAATGTTTGTTTTTCTAAATATATCTACTTTTATGAAAAAGAAAACCACGTCCGAAATTTGAAAGAAAAGTTACTTTTTTCGCCGCATATAATTATATTAACTGAGGTGGCATTCTAGGCAAAACATATCTATGAACAGATTGTCTAGCCACGTGGTTCATTCACTTGAAGTCTTCTGTTCGAAGCCCCACCCACACATATTTGGGAACTTTTTCTTTCAACTTTGCCGTTGCGATTTGCTTCTTTTAAATATTATGTTGCTATTCTTCCACTACAGTTAGCTTGTCGCGTTGGTTGGCTTCGCGATCTTCCCTGGCGCTGGTCGAGGGTTCG